GAATGAAATATAACTGCTCCATATTTCACATTTTGCTCATTTACAAATTAGAATGCAGCATATTGACAATAGATGATTTGCGAATCATAATGAAGCACTCAAAAATCAGCTCTGTATAGTACTGAAAGTAAGAGTTTCATTGAAATGTGGTTGTTTCTGACTGATTGACTAATATACAAAAACATTGACGCTTTGCACTGTGGCTATAATTTGACAGAGTCCCTTTTACCCCACTGAAGCGCCTTTAATTTTTCGAAATTATTATTATTTTTTTTTTGTGAGTTCAAGAGTCTGACTTGTGGCAAGTTAACAGTCAGGCTATGGCAGAAATACTAAATAATCTTTGCAGTTTAACTTGAAAAAAAAAAAAATAATATTAATAATAATAATAATTATGCTAATTTCTTTGTTTCCTTTCATCTAAACAACACTATTTTGTAGTAAATGGTTTTATTTTTTTAACGSATTTAGTGCCTTTACTCTACTGAAAACGGGACCGCTTATACAAAACTAACCAAATAGAGTTGAGTCCGCATCAACAACCGATGACAATCAACAAATATATATAAAAAAACATTCCCACATTGATAAACTTCGGCCKKRAAAWGCCATGATATCTACATTTGAATATTCGGTCTTGYAAATCATTCCTTGATTTTAGATCTTGATATTTCTAAGTGACTAACAATCCAGTAAACTAGTAGGCTTTAATATTTCCCGATATTTTTATTATTTCGGCAATACCGATATACGTTATTTTAAATCACTTTTTTATATATAATCCGGCCTGTCTACGTTGCATGCACACAATATGACAACTAACCTTTTTGTCTTTGAAAGAGACATTTTTAACAACTCTTTTAACGTTTTCTCTTTGGACAAGGGGGGAAGGAGGAGACTGCTTTCTTCGTCCAAAGCTCGGTTGTATTCTTACCTACTTTACGTCTTCCTTTTCTCTTCCAGGCAACGTTCTCTTTATAAGTGGTTGACGATGAAGCCCTTATCTTTTGCCCTGGCTCTCGCAACTCTCGCTGTTTCACTAGCAGAAGAAMATTTCTTYGAAGATCCAGCTACCGATTTTATACTATCTATGAATGGCGATGGCTCTGATGAATATCATCGACAAGGGGACGATAACGAAGTATAACGAAATTCATGATAGTTTTTTCGAGAAGTTTGATTTCCCTTTCTTTTAATAAATGTAGTGTACAGGGAAAGACATTTATTACTTGGGGATCGTCCATCTACTCCCCAAGAACTATCTTGCGATGTGGATGGGTGTCAAGATCGTCTTTTTTTGTGGAATGTTTTGTCCTTTTCTCTACTGTTTTTTTACGTTGTAACACATTTTGCAAAATACTGAAAGTCCCAAGTTTCTTTAGCTTTTCAGTCTTACGATAGCCTGCTGCGTGCAGCCGAACCAAAACTGTTGTCAATAAGAGAAAAGTGCATATATCTCGGCACACAGAGTACACGGTGTTCGTCGCTGACAGTTTCGGTTCGGCTTCAGGGTTTTTCTTTACACTAAATCATATCCGTTCCCAGGCGTCTGCTTGTTTTTTATCCGCAAATTTTCAGCAATGTATTCTTACGCAGTAATTGGCCGATAACAAAACGAAAATGGGACTGGGTCCGAACTTCTAAATCTAATGAAATGATGACTCATACAAAAAGGCTTACTGACTAAGTATCTTGATGTTTGAATTTATAGCAATAAAGTTACGGACATTCAAACCATGCCAAAATTACAAAGAAATGTGTGGTGTCCAGTCAAAGCATCCAGCCAATTATAAATACATTCTTTGTAATTTTAGTAATTTTTGAAAAATTATATTTCCATTTCTAATGACTTACACTTGCTCAAACTTTAAACTTTAGCTAATTTATATATGCTTTATCTATCGACAACAGATTTCTGTAAGATTGTATCAATTCAGTTCCAGGCTCCTTCTTGTTTTGTTAACGGCCAATATAACCGGGAAAACAGGAATGGGAAAATGCAAATTGTTAAAACTATKGCAATTAAAACTTCTTTCTTTGAATTTCGGTAAGTCAAGAGAATCAGTAGCCAAATAAAACAGGTTCGCTTCGCTTTGCATTCGAAAATTAATTATTTAAAGTCGATTCTTGATTGGATATCGAGGGCCTCTTCAATGCAGGGAGAATTTCAAGATATTTCTGATTTTAGAGAACTTGATAATTGTTATTTCGCCATTTAGTCCGATATTTCTAGCATTTCCTATGCGCTTATTGTTATAGGACCAATGCAAGAAAGGATACTGGGAGTGCACTGGAGGAGACAATGGCTGGAAGAAAAAAATACAATGTGGTCTTGACTTCCTTAAATGTCTACAGAACAAAGACAACTGAACCAACAACGTGGACGAAATATTGAAGCATATTTTTTGCCGGCTCAAACGAATTGCGAATGCAATTATACTTTCAAAGGCTCTCACTAAATGAAAAAATAAATTTAAACCAAACTAAATAAGATCAATAAATAAAAAAGAAGAAAAAACATATTTGAAATATTTGCTTAAAAATTAAACAATTATCCTAACTTTCTTTTTTTTTTCGTCAAAGAATCATAAAAGTGTTTCRACATAAGCATTTTCTGAAATTCCATTACATATTTTGTTGTGGTGTTCTAGATGACAGTACAACCAATTTTTGTTTATGCAGTAAAATATGATGTTGTTTGTATTGARGCTAGACCATAWTGAAACATGATTTTGTATTCCAAAAATATTCAATGTCTTACTCAATATCCTGTTTTCGATAAGTATTATTTTAGCATTTTGATTTTGATTTTGATTTCACTACACTATGTTTAGTCTTATCTTGTCTGTGAAACTAGTTYCGTTTTATTAAACTTCCTCAGTTATTTTATGGCAATATTTTATTTATTGTTTTCAATTTCCATTTCATCTTAGCTTCTCAGACAGCGTGCATTTGAGATGTRAAACAAAACTAATAATAGTAATTGGATAATAGATTAAAATTCTGAGTAAATGATTAAAATTTAACTACTTTTTTGACAAGAGAAGTCATTGAGGAAACTTRAATAACATAATTAAAAGAGAAGCTTTAATTCCGAGCAAAAAGCATACTCCAAATGATCTTCTTGCGAAGGGTAAGTTTTAGAATGATATTATGTTGAGGTCATTCTATGATGCTCTTCATTTGGTTTTATGGAAACTAAAGTTAAATAAGTGATGGCTCAACGTGAAGCATTACAAATAATGACAACAACGTAGAAACATGTATTATTTTGATCAGTATTCACTAACGACTACACTAAGATTTYCTTTTTGAAATGAAGGGGAAAATTTTGTTCGATAATTTCCATGTGTAGTTCGCAGACTTTTGAGAGAAATCAAAACTAATGAAAAACAAAAAACAAAAAAAACAACAAACAAACAAACAAACAAAAAGGAAAGAAAAACGAAAGGACAATGAGACCTAAATATAATGATATTAATGATAAAATTCTAAGAAAACTATTAGCTAAAACTGCTAGACTAACCTATAGCAAAAATTGACCCCAAATCAGAGCCACCAAACTATCCACTGATAAAAAACGCAAATCTAATTCGAAATAGATAAATCATGCACGTGTATTTCAAACATTGTTAAACGCGTCTCGGCTCTTGGAAACAGACGGCAAAGCACGGCTTATTTACCTTGATTTAGATGTTCCTGTCTCAAATGGGATATGTTTCTTTTAAAACGGTTGCATGAATAAAAGAAAAACAATCAATCAATAAATAAAGACCTGCATGACTAAGAGAGTGTAGATATGGAGAAGCGCCTCACATTGGATTCAAAAATCGAAACCAAGTGCACAATCATTTTCATTTTCGATCCATTTTCTGTTTGAACGAGAGATTTATGACTCTAGCTCACGATAAACTTTAGAAAGGAAGTGTTATTGTTAGAATATTTGCAAAATGTAAACGAGTTATTCTCTTTCAWATAATGCACTAAAAGTGAGATATCTAATTCTCTGATTCGATYTCGTCTTGCAGACCATCATAACAGTTTACCTAGCAGCATTATTGGAAATATTCCTATGCGAATTATCAAAGGAAACTGGTTTGTTTCAAGTGCTTGGCAACATGGAGCCCGCTCATGTGCTCCACGATAGTGTGATACAGTCTTATTTTGATATTACCCGTATAGTTTACTGTATCGAAAAATGCGAAAATAATTCTGCCTGCCGTAGTATGAATTGGTACAGAAGCCAAGGACTGTGTCAACTGAACAACGAAACCCATTTGTCATATCCTGAAGGGTTTGTTCGAAACATTACTGGAAATTATATGATTTACGGCGTTCGTCCCATGGCTACATGTAGCAACAAGATGTGTGCAGAACAAAGAGTTTGTTTGATGGAGGAAGATGGGATTAACTTTAAATGTAAAGGTGGGTCATTATAAATGATTATTATTATAGACAGGGTAGCTTGCGTAGGTAGAGCTGACGGGTTCATAAGAGAACTGTTCTTATGTCCGGCCAGCCAGTCACAACTGGTTACMAGCGAGAAATTCAGGAACAAAGAACTCTCCAGRCAAGGAATACTTTCTAAGACTTTTTGCCAGGAAAATAAAARTGTCCCAACTCAAAAAAATATAAGCCGTTTTTGACGAGGTCGAGGGAGAGGGKGAGGAACAACGAGACACCCTCCTTTTCTTTCCCCCTACGTTTTTCCTACCAGAAAGGCTGATCCTCAGATTATTCACAGGGTGAATATGTCACCATTATTTTCCCTACCAGAAAATTGCACTCTKGCATTGGGAATGGAGGATGGTCGCATTAAAGATAATCAGCTAAGTGCATCGTCATCTTTTAGCATTGAACACACTCCTAAAAGAGCTCGTTTGCAWTCTAATTTGCCTAAAGGAAGCTGGACCTCAGCATCCGATGTTCTTCCCCAATACCTTCAGATTAACCTTGTCAAGACGCATGTTATAAGCCAAGTTGCCATACAAGGAAAAGCAGTTGGATCTATTCAATGGGTGAAAAGATTTTACCTAATGTTTAGCGAGGACGCTCTCAAGTGGAAASCATACGAATACGCAGGCATCATAAAGGTATATCAGAGTATCTCTAAAATGAAAGCGACAATACTCAGAATTAAAATTAGTCTCTTTTAACAGCCGCGACTTCCTGTCTCGTCAAATTTCCTCCCCGAAGGTAACGTCTGTTTACCCAGGCGCAACATTCCTTTYCGATTGATTAACAACAACCAATCAAAAGAAGAGTGAAAGGATCAAAGGCAATCAAAACATATTTTGAATTAAACCTGATAAATTTCCCGCGCGACTTCATTCTCGCACCCTGTTTGTAGTAAATGATGTTGAGTTCGCCGGAGATAAAAAAAGTTATAAGTGTTTTCTTTGTTTCAAGCAAGTTTTTAAAAAGGATTAAGCACACAGGACGATAATTTCCGACAAACCCAACTTGTGATCGAAAATACATGCCAATGTTTTACAAAAATAGCGATTTTCCAAAACCCAGTGGGCTGATTAACGAACACATCGACTCTCTCTACTATAAACTTGAGAATAACATTCCTTTGATAATCGTTTAACTCTCTAATTCTAAATTTCGTAGCTGGAATATAAATAATAACAACTRTCTTGTTTTACTATGGCGCGAACGGCTCCTGGTTTTCAGGAGCTAAGCCTTGATTGGTCAATCAAACGGAAAGGAATGTTGTGCCTGGGTAAACAGCCGTTACGTTCGGGGAGGAAATTTGACGCGTTGATAAAAGAGACTCAATTAAAATCAGATTTTTCTTAAATCTAAAAGAAAGGATGTCCCTCTCAGATCGATTTAATAATAATATTTATCCTGTGACAAGAAAACAAATCCCCTTTTAAATCATTGTGAGTTGGAAAAACCTACTTATAGAGTTTCAAGCGTTTAAAGCTTGACAAAAAATAAAAGATATCTCGATGCATGGAGCTTGATGAGATCAGAGCTTTATCCTACAGTTCTAAGTGTAATAKGACCCTTCGTCTGTGATAAAATAGCATCGGATACAATCAATGATAGCAACAACTTATTTATGTGAATTTACAAACCTCATTTCAGAAATTTGAAGGCAACATAGACAAGTCGTCTGTTGTGACTCACAAGCTCTTAAAACCGATCAAAGGAAAAGGCATTCGATTTATGGCTGTGAGTTGGCATGTTCGCATCTCGATGAGAGTAGAGCTATATGGATGCATTGCTTGATGGGGCCCTTGGTAGCCAACGAAAGTTTACATTAATGAAATTGAGACGTATTAATCCATTAGGGCATTAGGTATCACTAAAACTGATCATATCAAAGAACTGCCTCAGAATAGTTGTCCTTTGTTCGGCAGCCACATTTGGTAATCTCCTATTTGGAAGTACTTGTGGTCTTGTTTTTTGGCGAGTTTCTCGACTTTTAAATATTAAAACCGTCTGATTTAAAGATTTAAATCGCAGATATTGTAGCGAAAACACTTCTGGTCCTTCTGAACAATCGGCCATTTTGTTTGTTACAATATATGGCATGAGTTCGCTAAAGGAAGCCCGAAACTAAAATGTTCAGAGATCCCGCACGAATGACATACAATTCTTTGATATGTTTCATTTATACACACTAAGAGTATAAATAGATGCTATAAACAATGTATATACTATATAAAAAGCAATTCATATCATGTATCACTGTTGATAATACGAAACAGTGACGTAGCAATAAACCAATGAATGACGTTAAAAGTCTTTAACAAGTATTGATATATTGTACTTACATGTATGCAATAGGCGCCTTTATAGGCAAAAACAACTTTAAAGAACATGTATAAAGTCCTACAAATGAAAAACAAACAAAAAGACCAAATAAAACGGAAAGAAAATACTACTAGACCAATCCAGCATTGGATGAACCCGAAAACAGGGGCTTCATTTCGAGGCTGGAGATAACAACAAACAACAAAAGATAAAACKTCAGCCTCGAAATGAAGCCATTGTTTCTTGTTCATCCAAGCGAATGATAACTTTTACGTGATTGGTCTATACAATCACGTAAAAGTTATCATTGAAGAGGATATATATATACATTTGTTTTCCCTTCTTGTTTAATGTAGAGCTTAGGATCTTAGAAGTGTAGTTGGTCATTTTTAAAGTATCAATAGCGCTAAATGTCAYCTCCTTAATTTCCCTCCATTGTCCCGTCATCTTTTAGCTGCAGTACCGCGTTTCAAGTGAATTTTGCTAATACTCATGATGTCAATGTCTTTCATACTTATTCCCCTTGATGATTGAAAAATATTTTAAATATTATATAATATTCCAATTGGTAATTCTTTCATTGCAGGTAGTAGAAAAAAAAAATGTTTGGGTTTTCTATTTTCTGAGATCTGTCTGCAATCGCAAGGAGGTACAAACAATAAAAGGGTTGCAGTGRGCAAAACTGCTYTTCGGACAAATATATTTGTTTTTRATGAAGCTAGACAATGTGATGCCAAATATGTACCTATATTAGCCTTTTGTAGGTATTTCTTTGACAAGCATTTGAGGTGAACTGTCCTTTAATGGGCAATTGTTAACCTAAAAGAAACAATTCTAAAGCATAAAGAATTTTACCAAAAAAACTCATTAAGCAACATAAAAATAGATTCTCTTGAATGTTAAGCTAGACAGTGAAGTCCAGCGAGCTTATTGCTCTACATTAATGGCATCGTTAGAAATTACATGCTTTTCTAAAAGCGTAAAATACGACAAGACATATTTTTTTAAGAAAAAAAAAAGAAAAAACTAGAGCAAATCAAAAGCTGGCGCAAAGGTAGACTTTTGCTAGAATATTATAATGAACAAATCAAACAATTCATTTGCTGTTTTATAAATGGAAAAAATAAATTAAATTAAACCTTGTTAATTATAACCGGGCTGCTCCGTGGAAGTTGCTCCATGCACCATGGGGCAACTAAAAAATTTAGATGAAAATGCCATTTTTTTAAAAAGTTCGAGTGATTTAACTATCTTTAAAATATATTTATGGTWAATAAATATCTGTTTTGGAATCATCCCCTGCAGAAAATGAATTCTAAAAGAAAAAAAAAAAAAAATGAAAAACAACACAATAACAAAAATATGGAATAAATGAGATCTTTTATTGTTGTAATTTTTTAAGAACTCGTTAAATTTTTCTGATTTTAGAAAGGGCTGCTCGAATTGCAATTCCTTTTCAACGCAATTTTATCCGATGTCGCCAATTAACAACGTAAAAGAAAACTATATCGCTTGATTTCATTGGCATAAAATCTACAATTTGATCGAATTCCAATCTCYTTTGTTATTCAATTAGTGTTGATTGTGTTATTTTTGCTCATAGAAATAACAATCTACATATTAAAGAGTGCAAAAAAGCTAGTCCCGTTGTTGTTAGGAAAACGAAGCAATGAAGAGCAATTTTATTAAGCAATTGATGCTCTTCATCTCGTTGAACGTAAAAATTAAAAAWTACAGGCACACAGATGACTAACTGTTATTCCATATCAAATGTTATATTTTTTAATTAGAAGTCGTTAATAAATTATTGTAGTTTGTTATAGAGAACTTTCTGCCATTGTGAACTAAGATTAGTTAATAAACAAAAAACAAGACTATTCATGAGCACCTGAATGTCATTCAAAAAAGAAATGTTCGCCTTTAAAAGGGTAAGTTGTTACTGACTGATTTAAGAATATATATATATACCCTTCGAAAACCTGTTTGTTTTTTCTCGCTTTCACAAGATAACGTCAAACACTAGTTATTAAATTGAAGTGAATAGCAACAAAAAACAAACAAACACTGAACCCTAGGCCCATCAAGGGAAATCGAAGTGAACTCCTTACAATAAAGCATCATCTTTAAATGTTTAAAAAGAAATCCTTTGATTATATCATGATATTTTAGCTCTGTTAACACAAGTTTTCCTGCGCTCTCTCCTTCAAAAGGAAAAAAGTTTGAATATTTTGATTATATCATGATGTTGTAGCCCTGTTCGCTCACTATTTTATACACTTCCCCATGATACGAACCAAGAGGTATCCAGAAGCATATTCTCCCTTTTTGAGCTATTATTTCCAACCCTTCATTGATTTACCTAGAACCCTTCTCAAGGCATGATCAATGAGCGTACACTTAAACCACAAATGTAATAATCCACTTTCTAATTCTCGCAAGGTCAAACAGAATAAGGAATCCAGGAAAAATAGATCAATATGTTAAACTTTATAACGTAAGAATAACAATGTAGCTTTTCAGGTCCTATGAATAGTTATAGTCTAAAAGACTTCTGGACCTTTAACGACACTGCATGATCTTCAATGCATTGTGGGATCAGTTTCTGGTGTTAACAAAAGAAATTCGCCATGTCCTGTCGCAAACATATCCTACAATACATTGCGTACACGGTACAAAACGAAAAGTTTCAGATGTCCATTGCTCTGCAATTTGCTGAATAACTAGTCTTTGGATTTCATTTAGGTTTTAGATGAACCAGAACATATCATCAATGACTGATGCGTTAATAAACCAGCTGAAAACAAGAGGATATAGGTTTTCTTTGTAAGGCCAAATATCATTGTTAAAATATTTCAGAATTCAAAATCTATCTCAGTTAATTTAAGTCATCTAAAATTAATGCCCATGTTCATGCAAGGACCTTTGCGACCGTTTCTTTAGTTTTGCAAACGATCTCTGATCTCTTTTTAAAAGTTGATTCCTTATAGATCGAAATGAAAGATGGCGAATTTTTGAGAAATCTCGTAAATGTTCTTTGAAGAAAGTGCTCTTTTAATAAAATTCTTAATAAAAGAATATATTGTAGATTCGTTGATAAAATCATTCTGTCTTTCAGTTCACTATAAAGTTCTACCTGACAGCATTATTTCTATTAAAATGGAAATTGTCAAAAGGAACTGGTCTGTTTAGGGTAGAAGGCATCATGGAACAAGGTCAAGTGCTTCTTAATAACATGACAAAGTCATATTACAACAATACCCGTATAATCCACTGCATCCAAAAATGTGACGAAATGTCTACCTGTCACAGCTTTAACTGGTATATAGGTCTGGGCCTGTGTCAGCTGAACAACGAAACCCATTTGTCTTATCCAGAGGGGTTTGTCCAGAACAAAACTGGGAATTATGTGGTTTATGGCGTTCGTCCTTTGGCAACTTGCAGCAACCAGATGTGTGAAGGACCAAGAGTTTGTTTGATGGGGGAAGATGGAATTAACTTCCGCTGTAAAGGTGAGGCATCCTATATAATTCAAGTAAGAAGCACGGCAAGCGAAATCTTTTTTCCTTTTTTCTAGATAATTGTACTACGGCATTGGGAATGCAAGATGGTCGTATTAAGAATTCTCAGATTAGCGCCTCGTCGTCATGGAGCATGAGTAGCCATGCACCCCATTTAGCTCGTTTAAACTTGGCAGGAGGTTGGGTTTCGAAGGTTGTGTATCCACAACAATATCTTCAGATTGACCTTATCACTACGCACATAATAAGCGAAGTTGCTACACAAGGACGAGAGATTGCTCTTAATCTTAATCATTGGGTGAAAAAGTATTACCTCAAAGTTTCCGAAGATACTCTCGGATGGGAACCGTATAAATACGGGGGCACATTAAGGGTATGTGGAAAATTTTTACATATTATCTATTCGACACTTCTACAGTTGGAGTAAACTTGTTCAAATCTCGTCGAATTGTAAATTTTCCATAATATACCGATATGGCCAAAAAAAATTGACATTTGTAGTAAAATTACTCGAAGATGAAAAAGACACTACATAAAATGACGTCATTACAATTATGCTGTCAAATTTGCTACTATGGATACAAAACATACCATTGCATCAAAGTAGAGCAGTAACGCTTAAACATGACATTTTAAACTGGTTATCAAGATATTGTTAAAACATTTTTAATAATCAAAAGTCTTTTAATAGTGTTTTTAATTCTTAAAAACAAGATTGACTACCTTAAAATTTTAAGTTTTCCTATATCCTCACTATATTATGATTTTTTTAAGGAATTTAAAGGCAACGTGGACAAGACGTCTGTTGTTTCTCACAAACTTCCAATTCCAATCAAAGCAAGGGCCATTCAATTTGTAATTCTGGAGTGGGCAAGTCACATCTCGATGAGGGTGGAGCTCTATGGATGTATTTACAATAAATAACATGGCTATGAGGGATAATAGTGATTACTTATCCGCGATGCCGTGGATGTGAGGACATTATTCATCCCTAAAATCCCAAAGAATTCATGAGAGTAGTCTGTAATATTATGATCACCTCGGTAAAACTGAATAAACACACACAAGCACGCACACRGCTAAAACATAGCATCTGTGAGAATTAATATGTAATTCTCTTTTTCCAGCATTTGGATTTAAAAAAATATTTCAATAAAGACATCAGTTACTTTGACGCACATTTCTGTTGATCTGTTGGTGTTTTGGATATGTTTGCGCATGAGCAGTAATTGCTAAGTTAGTTCTATTTAGTCCCCGTCATACATATGCACTCCAATAGATCACAGCATTTTTTTCAAAAATATTTAAGAAATATAAAATGGCGCATGTGTCTCTGTCCTCTGATGTAAACGCGGTGGGACTTAAGAAAACACTCAAGAGTGTTAAAGGCCTGGGTCAGGACGCCATTTATTTGGATTCCTTTCTTTGTTTTAAAAGTGTAACCATGTAACTTTAACACATGTCAGTTTTCAGCAAAGGTGCAAAGTTTTGTTACCAGAAGCACTTTTCATTGGTCACGTGAGTAGCTACGTAGTTTGGAAAAGCTCCAAACTTCAAGAGAAAACGGGGCGGAGAATATGACTATACCGATAAGATTAATCTAGGTCCAGCCTAGATTGGTTGTCAATCATTCACTGTTTAGGAGAAATTTGACTAAAAGTGTCACGTGACCTATGAAAGAATTAATAAATATGCACTTTTCTCCTTACCATTTCAATGAAGTCATCTCATTTCAATTACCGCCATATTGGTCACGTGACAACCAAATTTAAATAATTTCCAAATTTAAATGTTAACAATCCCCATAACAATTTGTGGCACAAAATTTATTGTACTACATCAAAAAATGGTCGAATTATTGCAATTTTAGTATTTTTCAGATTATTGACAAATCCGTAGGCCTTAACACACTTGAGCACGAGAGAAGCAAGCTTAGAGATTTTTTCTCCGTTTTTTGAGTGAAAAAAAAATAACCCTTTCTGGCAAGCCGTGTATCTGTCCTCTAATATAAACATTGTTGTTAGCCAATCAGAGTGCGCCTGATATATCAAAAATTGTATGAATAGTAATGAGGTTTTTAAAACCTTCCTATGACCTAAACAAGGTGCTTTTATCCATTTTTCTGTTAAATTTGTTTTCATCAGTTCATAGAATCCTAGTAGACTGCATGCAGCCGAACCAAAACTACAGTTGTTATGACGTTATGCATAGTCTTTTTTATCCAAATTCTTATCTTCTCAAGAAATTTTAAATAAACTTAAGTCGACGTTGGAGCTGTTTTTCAGTAAAAAGTTTAGAAAGAAGAAGAGGAAATTTAAGACCAACGAAAGTGAATGTAGAAAAAGTTCGCACATACATCATTAGCACGTTAGATTTCATGTCTTTGAAATGATCATATATCAATGCAATTTATTCGCGATTGCTGGCGTTTGAAGTAATATATAATTAATGCATATTGCGATTTGCATTCTTTCCTTTTTAGTAGCCCGAAAAGAAATTCAATTCAAGAAATTCACTGTGCATTACCAAATATGCCTAAATTGTTTGGATATAAGTTAGCGATACTTGAGATGCGTTTTGTTTTTAACTGTTATTTGACATGTTATTGACTTAAGGATAATCTATGTGATTCCTGGAGCAACAGTTGCATTAAAATGAAATGTTAGTGAATCCTTCCCGAATTTTTGGTGTATATAAATTCCTTTGCTTCATTTAAGATGTACGAACACCAAGAACATTCCCTTGTCTCCAGTCTTTTACTTCCACTATATAGAGAAACCTCGAATGTGTTATTTTCACTAGTGAAAATAGGCCAGACATTTTGCGTAAAGCGTGTACAGGATAACCTCCGTTAAGTCTGTTTTTATATTCACTTAATTTCATATATGTACAACTGCTTTACTTTTCAGCGCAGTAAATTTATTCTGCATGTTGACTCTTTAATGCCACGCTAGACGAAAATAGCAACTTTACATTGTAAAGAGCTTCACTCTTATAATTCTATGTATTTTATTCTATYTCGCTCATTCACTGATGATGCTGTAAAAAGCTAGGAATCATCCATTAAAGATTTACTCTCAGCAGCTTCGGCTAAATATTGCACTTTTGGATATCAACAACCTTGCAATTTTGTATCAGTTCTTTTGTTTATTATTTTAGCTTAGTTTCGATGATAACATTCTCATTTCTTCCTGCTCAGGACCTTTCAGGGGACTCTTTGTTATGCGACTCTACATTCATTTCCACCTAGATTTATGTCATGATATTCCAGTCACCGCGGAGCATAATTTTTCTAGAGGGGTTAGGTACCYAGCCAATCCCTGATTGTAATTTGTACCACAGTCCGGAATAGTTCCAAATCAGGAAACCTTTTTAACTTACATTTTTTTAAATACAAAACATTAGATTTGTCAATCAACGGCCTTCTTTGTCAGTGACGTCATCGAATATATTTTGTAGAAGAAATTCAACATGGCGGTCGAGTAGGTGCTGGATGTGTATGAAAGACTTTGAAAAAGAGACGCTCCACAATCTTAGATTAGCTAATTGTGTTTGTTCCAAATGATGAATCCGATAAAAAAAAACAAAGCCGTGGGCTTATATGCATTGCGTTTTATCAAGCCTTTTACAAGCTTAAAATCTCGAGAATTATAGAAGCGGCCAAGCAATTTCGGCATTAAGTTGAGTAAGTTTAATCATCAAATTTGTTTTCCAAACACTACTCTATGTTTATGCAAATATATTAAATGTGGAATGGAACGAGTGTCTCAATCTGATATAAACACGATAGGAAATGAAGCCGTAGGGTAGATACACAACCGCCGTTTGATATTTCTTTTTTAATACGTTTATAGCTTTTTCGAGAGCTTATATCTTTTTCGAGAGCGCGAACGACAGCAGTAGTTATCCCGACCTAAAACCTGTCATTCCTCATTATATATATAGATTTTTTCATGGAAAGTGCTGACGTACGGGATTTTCGCACGAGTTGGTGATGAATCTAAAATCGAACGATTGAGCGTAGCGAACGAGTGAGATTTTAGATTCAAAACCAACGAGTGCGAAATTCCCGTTCAAAAGCACTTTCCATGATGAAGTTTGTTTATTATATACATACTGAGATTTTATAGCGTCTACTTGAGCGACTTTTGTGCATTTTAATGACGGTTTTGTCTTACAAACTCGCTT